CCCTCTCAGCGAAACGGTAGTAAACTAGTTAGGAACCCACCACTGGGATGCTTGTTAAAAAATGGCTTTGGAAAAGACAACGGCATCAACGAACAGGAAAGGAAGAGACAGAAGGAAGTCACAGGAGAACAGCTGCTTGCATTTCATGTTAGGAAGCCCTCACCCAAACAGCTGATATGTAGGCAGAGAAAGAGTTGCCTGCAGGCCTTATGTCACAGTTCCTGGAGTTCCCGGAACAGACCTACCCATCCTTGGCTGCAGGACGTGGTGTTCCTCATATCCTTTGTGTGTCTTGGAGTCAAGCCAAGGGACTTGTGAGCAGCAACCGGACCAATCAAGGATAAGCACCCTGGCTCTTGGTTGCTCCAGACACTGGATGGAAAGCAGGTGGGTAAACAATAGCTGAGCATCAGGAGAGCTGATTTGCAACAAGAGGACTCTGGTTCAAATCCCCAACATCTTAGGAATGCTAAAGGTCAAGTCTTAAACCCTCAAGGGCTTCTTTCCCAGTAAAGACAGCACAGAGCTGGATGGACTAAACTCTGAATGATTTATAAGGATTGCTTTCTAGAGCGGAAGGACCTGTTTTGGCAGAAGTTGCAACCTTTACAGTCACCAGAAAATTCTTGGCAGGAGATGCATATATTCTCATATTAGATATCCTTTGTTATCTTTTTAGAGCTGAGTTCAGCAAAACAAAAAGGCCTGTAAGTTTAAGGCACAAGGCAACTGTGCACAGTGCCAATTGGATGATGCTGTGACCTCACGAAGACACTTTCTTCAATCTACAGAGCATTTTAAATGTCTTGTTTAGGACAAACCTTCCAGAGATGCACAAATAGATTCCAATCAATCTTCCGGCTTTCAGCTATTTTTCAAACAATAGAGTAGGATACATCGTTATTTTTGGTCTCATCCTTCTAGGATACTCTTGACCTTCCACGCTTCTTTGTCTTCTTGGGACCAAGTTGGACACACAACATTCACGAGAAGCCCAGAGGCATGCTGGCTGGGGAATTCTGGGAGTTGAAGTCCATACAGCTTAAGTCTGCCGAGGTTGAGAAATCCTGCTGAAAGGCAAAATTAGGCTGCAGTGGCTACTGTAGTTTGCTTTGCAATATACCAACTTCCTAAAGAGAGAGGGGGGGGGGAATAAAGATGCCAAGTTGTCTACTACTGCTAGAGTCTGTATTTAGCTACGTACTTCACTAATCTCAGAAAAGCTAAGTAAGATCAGGCATACAGTGGTACTTGACTCCCCTCAAGGTCTGTAACTAGGCTGGGAAGTCAAAACCAGAGGTGATATTCAGTTGGTTCAGACCACCCAGGCTCTATGCCATCCTATTTAGGCATGTTTTCAAACCACGTCGATGCGTGCAAACCACACGTGTGTGAAAGTAAGTGAATATCACCCCTGGGCAAAACCCATTCTGGAAGAAGGCAATGGCCACATTGTTCCAGGAGAATGGAGTATGACACATCCATGCAATTACCATCTTAAACAGATATAGACATTAGGCTCCAATCAGTATTGAGGTCCTTGATCCCTTTGGTGGTAGGTTTAAAAAAATGGTTTCCCCCCTTTCCATTCTTTTAATGCAATTTAATTAAGAGGAAAAAATAATTGGCCATTTGTGAGGTCCTTGGTGCTCTCTGAGCTTGGTTATTTTCTTGCAGATGTTTCATTACCAAACTTGCAGATGTTTCATTACCAAACTTCATCATCAGTACTAGTAGGGAATGGGATTTGTTTTTATTTTATGTACTAGTCACTTGCCCTGTCAGTGTTGATGGGGGTAGACCTGATGGTTCCTTGATTGGGCTGTTGTTTGCTGTAGCTTGTTTGTGTGAATTGGTAGTTTCTTGATTGGGGTATTGTTTGCTTCTTGATTGTTGGTTTAGCATTAATCTTGATGTTCATCTCTGCTCATTTGGGTGTCGATTGTTGGTTTTGATCTCTTTGTTTCCTTTTGGGTTTTTTTATTGTCTCTTATGAGTGGTATATGTAGATGTTGTTTATCTCTGTGTGTCTATGGATGGCTGATTTGCTTGAGTGCCAGGCTTCCACTGGCTAACTCTTTGTAACTTTGAAGTTCCACCTTCCATAACTTTCCTATGACATGCCTATGGATGGTACAAAAGATCAGTTGAAAACTTGGTCTGCCCAACTTGTGGAAATCCAGGTGGGTTTTTCCCCCCCAGATTTATGAGAAACAAAATAAATACATGAGCATCAGTAGGTTGCTGTCAGATTTCTGAGAACTTGTTGCCATGCTAACACTAAAGTGCCATTTAGCAAACAAGTTTGGTGTCTTAGATACAAGACACCCAGCAGCCAATCTCAACCACCATGGCTGGAAAAAGCTTAAATTCCTAGCATTGGGAATGGAGGTGACGGTCGTGGGGCTAAAGCTGAAAATTAATGCCAAATTTTAAAAATCAATAATAAAGCAATTTGAAACGACATTTGGTGCAGAAACCAGATGCACAAAGATCAAAAGGAGGCTGTATACAGTTATCAGGGTGCAATGACTCTGTAGTTAAAGACACTGAGCTTGTCAGCTGAAAAATGGAGAGCTGAGGTTCGAAACCCGAGCACTGCACAAGAGGGTGAGCTCCCGTTCTTGCCTCGGCTTCTGCTCACCTAGGAGTTTGAAACCACACAAATGCAAATAGATAAATAGGTACCACTTTGGTGGGAAGGTAACAGTGTTCTGTGTGCCTCGGTGTAGAGCCAAACTGTCCACATGACCACAGAAGTGTCTTCGGACAACACTGGCTCCCTAGACTAAGAAACGGTGATGAGCCTTACTTAGGTCAGACACACTGGACAGGGGAACTTTTATCTTTACCTTTTATATAGGTGTCAGGAACACTGCAAGCTAGGAGGATTACATGGAGGACATCCTAGAGGATGATGAGCATGTTTACAGGGCATGCTCAGACAGATAACAGGTTCTGAAGAAATAAGGAAATGAGATATAATGTAAAAAGCCCCCGGTTCATTTTTTGGCATCTCTACTGTCATAAGACAGGAGTGTCAAACTCGATTTCATTGACAGCCACATCAAGGTTGTATTTGACCTCAGGGGGTGGGGGGGGGCATGTCCAGGATGGGTGTGGCCAGCTCAATGTCACTCGTGTTGGCCCCTGTGGTGTCTGAGTGCTCTGCCAGTGAAAACAGGCTCCCAAGCTCTGTTTTCGACTGCGACAGTCTCCTGCAACCCTCTGCCAGTGAAAATGGAGCTCCATTTTCATTGGCAGAGAGTTGCAGGCGGCCGTTGCAGCCAAAAATGGAGCTCAGGACCCTGCTGTCAGAGAGACAGTGGGCCAGATCTAAGCACCCCGCAGCCCAGATCTGGCCCGTGGGTTTTGAGTTTGATACCCCTGGTATAAGGTGATATTGATCCCTGCTTCTTTTCTTTGAGTTAGGGAAGATGGTACTAGATGCAGTGGTGGGCTGCTAACCGGTTTACTACTGGTTTGCTCGTGAGCGCTTGTGCATGTGTGCACTTCTGGGTGGCTGGGCGGAGCCTCCTGCTGCCACCACTATCGGTTCAGCCGAACCGGAAGCTACCTACCTCTGACTAGATGTAAACACAAACAATATTAACCTGGCTTCAGGATATGTCTTAAAGGCTGGAGTCAATAATTGGATTTGGCTCAATCCACTCACTCAGCCTCACTGTATGTTGCTGACCTTGGGCCAGTCGGTTAGTCTTTCCGAGAATGCAGTGAAGAAAACCCATCTAAGTCACTTTGGGCTCCTTGCGGGCAAGCTAATTTGATGAATCCTACAATTATTTACTGCTAAATATTTACTTTTGCATATCCAGTCTCCTTCTCACCCTCCTCAAATTGAATTAAATGAAAGAAGGCCTCTAGGAACAAGGTCTTTTAGCCCATTTAAGGTAGGAACAGCAAGGACAGCCTTTGGCTTAATGCCACACAGTCCTCAATCTCATTTTGAAAGTGCTTTTTAAGCCACCCGTTTAAGATTTCTGGGAAGACACGTGGGAAGAACGATCTGTCCCTTCCTTGGCAGCCTGCCGGATGAAGAGGAAAAGAAACAATTGCTTCCTTGAAAGGGAAACCAATCTGAATTTGAGAGAATCCTTCTCAACCAAAGAAGAATGCACACAAAAAGGAATCACACAAAATCTTGGCCAATAACCAGCCTCTGACTCAGGGGTGAAATCTACTTACTATCGCTACTGGTTCGCAAATGTAAGCGTGCATGTGTAGAGCATCAAAAACAGACGTGATGGCGTCCCGGCGGGTGGGTGGGTGGGGTTTGCTACTTGCAAAGGTGAGTAGACCAGTGAGGGCAATGACTAAACAAATTTCACCTCCTCTGTAACTCAGGAGCTTGAAATTACTACTACTACTACTAGTAGTAGTAGTAGTA